ACTGAACTATCCTAGGATTTGAGTGTTCGTTTGTCGGCAACATAAAGTATGCCTGTACTGATTTGAATAACCCCATCAAAATAGGTTATGTCCCTTTAAGTTATATATTTACATTATGACGGCACTAAATTTAATAACCCTGTCTCCAAATTTGCTATAATGCGGGTGTTGCTGGTTTGTAGTTGTCGCCTAGACACGACACTATAAGCAGCTAATCACGTGAAAATATTCTCCACACTGAGATAGACACACAAAAGTCAGATTCAACTGCAACAGTCGCGATAACAACGTTTTATGTATCAAAATACAGGGTGTATCGCTTACATATCCACGGGAATTTGAACCACAAATAAGTAATCAATATCTGATTGATTGCATGGCCTTGAAGGCCTACCGAGAATTATTATTATTATTACTGTCTCCTTTTGTTCCTAGAGGAACAAAGGGCTTCAGCCTCACGTCTCCATTGCATTCGGTTCTCTGCCAACGTTTTCATCGCCTGACTCCACGTCTACCCACACGCTTTCATCTCCTCTTCACATGACCTCCTCCATATCATCCTCCCACTGACGACCGAATCCCCGATTTCCACTCGAGCAATAGCCTGCCGTGTGATGTCACTCACTTGATGGTTTGTTTTCTCAGAGTATGGCCTCCAATCCACCTACTCCATTTCTTCTTGCATATTTGTTGCACAATCGGTTCCTAGTTGGTTAGTTCGCTGATTGCCAGAGATACCTGTAGCTGATCTTTTCTGTCCGGCCATCTGATCCTGAGCAAAGTATTGAGCGAAGAGAGCTGTTGATGAAGGTCTGTAGTTTGTTTGAAGTGGCCTTCGTGACGCGGCGCGGTGTCAAGCCTCTTATCCGTATAGTATCACTGACTGACTTCACATTGGAGTTGAAAGTCCGGATCTTATTTTTCATGTTGAGTTCTGAGTGATGTTGATGTCCACACAGACGTGATAGTAATGAAAGCTTGTCTTGCTTATGTAGGAATATCATAACGTAATTAATTTGAAGATTAACTATGGAGATGGATCGTTTGTACTATTGTTATTTGACTGTGATACTGTGCCAACTAGAATCTCTACCCATCCTTTCTACTTGTTGTATACGTTTCATTCAGGTGATGTACACTTTAATACAAATGATTTACACTAGGTTAAAGCACAATATATCACCGGTATTCTGAGCTCCGTCGAGTAGTCAACTAACATGGAGTGTAGCTGGTTCATCCAACATTTTGTTGATTTGATCTCATATCCCAAATTGTGTTTCACAGTTTGCTAATGTGAAGCTTGATTACACTAATCTAGTTGTCAAGGCTGAAGTAGTTACAACCGGTTTCAAACTTGGGACTCATTATTACCTGGAAGTTGTTTGTATAAGTCAATGATAGTGTCACTGCATAGAAGATTTAGCTTAATACCACTAGATTTCAGTGTCAAATGTTTGTTTTTGTACTGTACTTTAGCTATAGGCAAGGTCTTTATTAACCAACTTGATTCATGTTCATTGCCTTGTAAATGAGCTTGACTATATAGGTCTAGGAGACTATGCCACTGATTCGAAAATAATTAATTTATAATTCCACTAGAGATTCTTGAAGTATGAAGCCTGTTGTGAATTACTGTTATCTTTGATTAGTGTATTGAGTATGCCGTACACTTGTGTGTAGTACAATGAGGTGTGTAGTGTTTGTGAGTTTATTTGTGACACCAGACACCAGGTTGTCGATTGGAATGCGAAAAGGAAGTAACAAGTCGGGCTTAAGTTCTAAGGTGTCATGGTGAGGAGACTATGTGAATTAGGAAATGTGAAGGCTCCTTCATGGGGAGCCATGGAAACGATGAAGAACGATAACAAATAGGCGTATATCTGTAGCCCCAAAAGTTGCTTTAATTAATTAATAAAATCCAAATATTCGGAGAAAACTGTATGATTTGGCGTAGGGATCCATGATGGTTTCTTTTAGAATCCTAAAATATTCAAATGACGGCATACTTGATGACAGGAAAAAATAACGAGATAGTATATACTACTAACTGATATAAGTAGTTGGAAATTATTCACATTCTTTTTATACCATTTTTTCTAACAGTAAAGCGTACTAATCAACAAACGTTAAACTACATATGTCGATTTTGACAAAGTTTTTTTTCGACCTGATGGTCAGTCATGCGTTCACATTTCTTGGGTCGCGCTATTCTTTAACTTTGTTATTACTTCTTTTTAAGTCTTCACACTGTGCTTGTGCAAGAAGAGAGAATGTCAGAAATAAACTAAATGTCTGAAAGAAGGTGAAAGAAAGCCAGTTGTGAGACATGAGACAAAAGATAATAAGGAGATTATTTAATTCAATTGGGACTTTCTCGTTGATTGATTGGACGTGGGTGTTTGACCTGAGTTTAACGTATTGGTTCCTTGGGTGGACGCATTGACGATGTGTCTGATTACTTAACTTGAAGTAATTTAGGTGGATGGTGACCAGCAGTGGAAACCATGATGTGCATTTCGTCACCATTAGGACCCGCCAGCTAGACGTACGTGCATTCCCCAGTGAGTGATGACCTCCCCAATGAGGCTTGAACCCAGTACCCATCACTTCAAACGTCAAATTACTTCAAGTTAATTAATCAGAAATCGTTGGAGTATTCACACAAGGAGCTGACATGTCAACTTGAAGCCGAATACTTCGGTCCAATCAATGAACAAGAAAAATTAATACCTGTTGTACAAGTGGTGGCTCTCGTGGCCCCAGTGGTCTAGTTGATAACGCAATGGCATTTGGAACTATGGGTACTTGGTTTGAGCCTCAGTGGGAGCACTATCACTCACTGGGAAATGTAGGCACATCCAGTTAACGAGTCCCGAATAGGACGAAATGGGCGCTATCCTGAATTCCACTGCTAGTTACCATCCATCAAATTACTTTATAATAAAGAGATGATTGCAATTGGAGTGATTCATTGATCAGAACTTCAAAGTATCATAAGCTCTCTAGCTGGCTGTACGATTTGAATCAGTGTCCAGTGTTATTGTATTGTGTACAATTCGATTACTCAGAAGTTACTGTCTATCCATATCCTCCTGTATCACTGATAAACTTTACAATTCTTCTTTACATTCCCGTTGGTTATTCAACACTCTGGTGTTAATGATAATGACTTGGTATCGTAGATAGCAGTAGATTGACAGACTACTGTTGATACTATGGATGGTGGTGACAGGTCGGATTACTGACCTGTCACTCTACTATTTGACCTAAATCATCCATCTGATAATCAGATCATTCATTCTACTGGATCTAGTAGCTGCAAGATAGTCTTGAGGTCATTCTTGACCATTCCGTCTCAACAAACACCTCCTGCTTCAAAGTAATCTACAGAGTCAAGAATAACCTACCAAAGGCAATACGGTTTCGTCTTCTTTGTATTGCTGAAGCTCTGGCCATTGACATAGGAATACCGAAGCTGTGCATACAAAAGAGAATGAATCAACCGATTCTACTGTCATGGTAACAACTTTGTTGATTTTGATGACTTGGTTTTGTTTCTTTGCCTGTTCTTTAATTGCTTATAATTATTGTATTCATTTGGAACTCTAACGTAATTTCGTATTCTCTACTTTGTTCCTATGTGTATCCTGAGAGAAATTCAATCATCAAACTATTCATATTATTACATAGCCTCTTTTTAACAACTGCTTGTGACAACCCATCACCTTTGTTACTGCCCTAATTTCATTAACACCCAATTTTTGTATTACGTAATTCTACCCAAAACTTACTAATTTTTACCTGTCCAGTTAAAATAACCATAACCAATTGTATTTTTGTTTGACGAACTTAATGTACGCATACACACAAAATTATTATAATATTATTATTGTTCCCTTGGGTTCCTAGTGGAACATAGGGCTTCAACTGCACGTCTCCTCTTGCTTCTGTCTTCTGCTGTACTTTTCACCTGCATCCATGTTAGTCCATACTGTTTCAACTCCTCTTCACACGATCTCTTCCATGTCACCCTTGCACTGACGTCCCACTCGCCTCTTCTCTTCCGGGTTCCACTCGAGCAATGGCTTGACGCTCGTGTGATGTCACCCAGCGACCTCCTCAGTGAGTGTCCAATGTGTCATCTCCGCTTTCTCCTGCATATTTGTTGGCTGGCGATTGGTTCTTGTTTCGTTTGTTTCTTCCCATAGTTTCTTGTTGGTGATTCTTTTCGGCCCAGCCATCTGATCTTCAGTACAGAGCGAAGACAGTTGTTGGTTGATAAAGGTCTGCAACAGGCTGTTGGAAATATTCTTTGTGACCCACCCGCCAGGTTTCTGATCCGTATAGAAGAACTGACTGACTTGACGTTGTTTGTATTGAAAATCCGACCGAATTTTGTTGTTGATGCTGAGTGACGAAGATTTCCAGATTGGTTTCAGATTGATGAGTGAATGTGTTTCTCGCCTGCCTTCCCGATTCTCGCTCGATTTGACATCCTCGTCCGTTCCGACTGCGTGTAGTTGAGACTATGCTCCCTAGATCAGTGAGTGAATGAAGTAACCTCTTTGAAATCCCTCGCGTTGATGGTGATTGAAGCTGGATGTTTCTGCTGTTGTTGTAGTTGTTGTCGGTTGGTTGTTTTCATAACCTCCGTCTTTTCTATGTTCACCTGGAGTCCTGTCTTCGCTGGCTGCTTCTTCGACCAGTTTGTCGGTCGGTTTTTGCTTGTGAGTCTTCGATTTTGTGACAGTGACATCAAACATAAATCATCCACGCACGAAATCCAGGTCTTCTAGGTTCTTCACGTCAGTGGTCCAGGATATCCCTGTCTGCTTCTCGTTTCTCACTCACTGTCTGACGCATAATCCAGTCAGTCCACCACAATTAGGAATATCATTGGTGATAATAAGTAGCACCCTTGTCTGATTCATGTGTTTACTCGAAACGCCTCACTGAATTTTCCGTTGTGGATGACTTGACATTTGCCGCCGTTGTCGTACAGCTGTTGAATAAGGTTGATGAATATTTGGGGTACGCCGTAGTACATATATATTTGCGATTGTACAGCTAAGAAAATGAATTCGCCGCCGGCGAAAAGAGACTCTTCGCTGAGCTACTATGTGTTTTGTTATTTTCATTAATGCCTGAATTGGAGATTATCCATGAATAAATAGTCTTGAGGTCTCTGATTCAAGTCCTACCATGACTCAAGCTTCCATTTGTATATGATTAAATACCAATTGAAATATTCTATAGTTTCAATGATAGTTAAATTATTTTATTCCTTTATCAATTAATCACCTTTTCATAAATTTTTGTAGGTATGTATGGCTGCTAATGTCTTCTCAATCAACAACAGCAAATACCAATTCCACAGATATCAACATCAAGGTGAATTCAAGTCAGACTGATTCACACACTAGCAGTGAAAGTACTACTACTACTACAAATTCTTCACAAAATCATGACCAATTAATTCATTCAAGACTAGGCAGTCTTGTTCCAGAATGTGATTCCGTGAAATCAGCTTATGATTTATGCTTTCAAGAATTTTTTCCAACTTTTCTACAAGGTAATTTTATTGCCAAAGATCCATGTGCAACAAAGTTGAAAGTTTATCAAAATTGTCTACGTGAAGCATTGAAAACAACATTCAATATGGATTTAGCTGAATTAGATGCTATTCAAACGGATCCAGAGACAATTAGAAATATTATTAATAATAGTAACAGTAATAGTAATAATAATAAAAATAATAATAGTAAAAAAACAACATGAATTTGGCGCGAAAGATTCGGTTTGTTTTTCTCTCACTTATTTCGCAAATTAATTTGATTCGATTGGAAGGTAGGCCTTCTTTGAGTACTAACTACTCAGGTTCTCTTTTTTCTCTAGTCTGTAATGTATTATGTACGCATGTTATTGAATAATTTAAGCCTGTCAGCTGTTTATTCAGTTAAGTGTCAGAGTGTGCGTGTGTGTGTGTGGGTGTTTTGTGTTCAATACTGCTATCTCAAATGAGGTTAGATTACTTTCTTATATCTTTGTATATGTCGCTAGAATTTCAACTATCATACATTGCTGTTAATAAATTTTATATATTTACAAAAATGTTACTTCTTAGTGATTAGTAGTATTGGTGAAGATGCTATGTTTTATATGTTGACTTCAGTCGCTGTATTGGTAACCTTAGTTACGGAATTCTTGGATCACCAGTGCCTCCTCCACTGTGCTCAGATGCAATGATCTCACTCACTTTGAGAGGTTTGATCGAATCTTGTATGTAACTTTGAGGGACTTTTCAAGTGGAGTTGAATGTCCTGAGTCTATCAGATGTCGTCCTGTTACCCGTTCGCTAACCAAGCCGGATAGTGTTGCTGAACGCGTTTTGCAAGCGGACGCACGATGTGGCCAATATACTCCACTAGATCAAGCCAACTGGTTTATGCATGTTGAAAAGTGACCTCGTGTGACAGCTTGTCTTTCATGTAATGCAAGGAAATGCGAATTATAGGCTGGTGGTGAAGTATTATCTTACTTGAGAGATTTCGAAAGCCATTTATGTAGAATTCCTCCCTCAGTATCATTTTCAAGTTCAAGATTGAGCAGCAGTATCTGTTTTTGGCGGCGACATGGACCTATTCAGAAGCTTTCTTTGGTTTTAGATTCTTGTCTATGAATCTGGTTAGGAAATCATTTTCTAACAAGATTCCTCGGAGATTTTGCATATACCAGTTCACTCAGGTTCACTAAGGTATCCGGTAATGTCTGGGAGACAGAGATAGCTAAGTTAGACTGGTATAAGTCATTGATTATCCAATTTCATGAGAAGGGAGAAATGACTTTCTGTGATAACAGAGGGATTATTTTGACTAATGTGGTATTCTGAATTCCTAGGCTCAATAATCATATGTCGATTAAGTGGTGCTCGGGAGAAATAAACTCGAGAAAACCCGACAGGCTTTGGACCAGGAAGAGGGCGTATTGACCATATATTTACCCTTCGACAGATTTTGGAACGTAGGTACGCTTACAAATGTCCAGTGAATGTCATATTTCTTGATCTGAAGCTGGCATTCAATTTCGTCGACAATAGGTACTTTAACAATGTCTAACCATGTAGTATTGCGCTAATGAAAGCACTCTACTCGAACCCGTGGAGGCAGCCAGGTGAGAACCTACGGCGAGTTGTCATCTGAAGTGGTGACAGCTACTGACGTCCACTAGGGATGCTCACTGTCGCCATTTCTGTATAATTTCACCAAAGATATACTAATCGACTTAACCCTAACTGCTGACTTCAGCGACTGAGGGATTGACTTGTTACCATCAGGGAATTATCTCGTTTACTTAGAATATGCAGATGATATAGTCCTCCCTCCTAGGTGAAGACGCTGACAAAGTGCAGTAGAGACTTCTGAACACCTTGACAAGCAGCAATCTTCGAATGTTTGACGTGTGATTCGCTCCCTTTGTCAAATGTAAGATGATTCTGTAGGACTGATCTACACGGACTCCTAGTTTCTCCACTTTTCTGCGCTACATGGACTGGGGCAGTTTGGAACTACTCTACTTCTACACAAAGTTCCACATTGAAAATCAGTCAGTTAAAACATCTCTGACGAAATAGGTCGTATATCCTTGGATGGAATGCTGAAAGTAGAAGTGTGTACTTTCGACTTTGAAATCTACTGATTACATGTAAGTATCAAGCGATACTTACTGCTGCTGACTAGCAAGAACTCTAAATTAATCCGAACAAATACCTCAGAACATCTACCATGTCACAGTTGAATATCGAAATTTCTAAAATAATCATTTTTATGTCATTATGTGAACACAGCAATGAATTATACCGTTGCACTTGGCATTGTTGCTAAGCTGACCATTAGACTTATTTAGTTATTATGAGTAGACTACTTAAATCTCATTTAAGTAGTAGCTGTCATATATGACAATAACTTGTGTCTACTTATATATATATTTGGTAATATGTCTTTAGAAATACATATTTGTCACATGTTGCGTTGCATCTGTAGTGTATCTATCAACTAGGAGACCTTCTAGGCATAAGCCTTATTTTCTGGCGTTGAACAGGCTTAGAGAAATGTTAGTAGTGCTGATCATTGTCTAGTACAAGGACTGAGTTCACTTCAGCGATGGGTTGATTTGCAGTCGGGAAAACACGATGAGAGTTTAAGTGACGAGAGGAGCTTTGTCGAAACAGTACACTGGGTTGAAAAATTATTCAAAACTATATAAGTTAAGTATTTTCAGCTGAATTCTTACTAACATCGAAGACTTTTCGTAAAAAATTCCTAATGCAAAATTAAGTCACTTAACAGTAAACAAAGAATATGGTATGATTATGAGCAATAAATTGTGCTCGAAACGTCAGAAGCAAATAGTACTGTTTAACACTGTGACTGTATCAAAATAAAAATCTTATCCACAATAGTTCCTGCTTTATTATGAATCCTAGGTAGGATTTCCAATACGCAAATAATGACTTGAATTCTTCCTTATTTGTTTTATTTAATGCCCAGTAGTTTCACGATTATTGCTGCTCTTATTGTAGGCCTTTTTAAACCGCCTAACAAATTTTATTCGGTTGTTGCTAAGCACCAATGCATAACTTTTTATACTTCACAATTTGAGCTACTGACTATTATTCAGTAGTATCGTTATGTATTTTTGTTTTTTATTACAAAGAACTGTGATAGACTTTGTTCAGATTTAACAAGTTACGGCTGGGAACGAATTCTTTTAATTTGGTGTCTAATCCTTATAGTGTCCTGTGAAACTAAATCCAGCGTCTTTCTTAGCGGTATACCTGTGTTACACTTAGGGAACTTTTATTTTCTTTATGAGGAAGAATTCCAAACTAGGACGAAACAGCTGTCTCGTATTCCCCGGTGGTCTTCCAATGGTTCTCTAACTGATAACAGCTCATGATGAAATTCTCCAACTGATGAAAACTGAGATAAATTTGGGAAACATCTGAAGCAGTTTAGATTGTTTAGCCCCGAAACATGTGATTCACCCCCATGACTGTGTCTTTAGTCAATTAAGGAAGAAAATTAATTATTTTGAAGTGATTAAATCATATACGACACCTGCTTCACTTATAAGATCAAGAGTCAATAAGTGCCAAATTAAATTTTGGACTCATGGCAAAGTTAAACTATCGTAGCCAAAACCACGATGACCTTGAGCAACTAATCAGAATTCAGATGCTAAAAAAGTCACATAATCGTTGAAAAATACACTAAAAACTATCGCAAGCTTTATATTACACTGTATAGTTGCAGCTTATGTGTTGTAAGAGTGTCTCCCAGTCAATGCACAGATGATCTATAGAGAAATCGTACCATGTGCGATATACCCATTCATCCAGGTGGGTGATTATACGTGTCATGGTACTTTGAGATCCACTGATATTTCTGAGACTATACTTCAAGCCACTCTTAACTCTAACCATAATCCTAACTTCTAATCCTAAGTTTAACCTTAATCCTAACAGTAACCCTAGATACTGCACCTTAATCTTAAAAGCTATAACCATACCTAACAGTATAGATTTTCATAAAAAGTACCAAATAAGTAAGTAGAATGCTGTATCTATCCTTTCCGAGTCCATAGGAATCCCTGTGTCTAACCGGTTCTTGAAGGTCAACTTTTGAAAGACCCTGGCTTTGGCTACGATACTTTAACTTCGTCAGACTCACTATTTTTAAAATTTTATTTTTTACATTCTCAGTGGTACATCGGGGCTTCAAGCTAGAGTTTTGAAGACTCAGTAGCACTGGTATTTATTTTGACGAGATAGGCTTGCTAGCAGCCTCATGCCCAACCTCCGCTCTTTACTAGTCTTATTACTGGCACAGTGAAGCGGAAGAATGCATCGGCTGGGGATCGGACCGCAAAGCACATTCATGGTTAGCAAGCATTCGACCACCTACGCTTTTAACTCACGAAAACGTTTCAATTTGTTTTGTAAGATAGAGTTGATATATATATATATATATATTTCATGCTTAATTGTATTGGTGTCCCAGGACTAATGGATCAGTTATTTGGGTTGTTTAAAGGACATTTCAAGGTCATTTTACTTGTTTAATTCAGTTGGAAATGACTTTAATGAACGAAATATTGCCATATTGAGTCCCATATTGAAAAAGACGTAAACAACGAAGAAAATTTTCTTTTCGACGATTCACTTCCATAAGCTGCTGTACAATCGTACACATATATTTAACAAAGAAATCATAAAACCAATCAGATACTAGTAAAATTTCTTCTCGAAAAATATATTACGTGGTATAATGTGTAACCTAGAATGGTTGACTAATTGGAAATTCGGAACGAGGCAGAAGTTGACATGACGTAATTAGTGTGAGATAATGACTAATCAGTAAGATTGTGTTGAGTGGACAGGAATTAGTGGAAAGACGATAAAGTGTTTTCACATAAAATCTGTGTGAAAACTAAATGTTGTTAATTAACATTATTAGAGTGATAATAAAACATGGATGATGGGAATAGTAATGATGATAAAAAAAAAATAGTAATGACAATAATAATGATAAACTGACATAACAGAAGAAGCAAAATTATATTAAGAACGTTACTCTGGCCACGGTAGGGCGAGTGAATGTATGTGGTGCTTTTGAATGCCGAGGTCTGGTTTCAAATCCCGGATAGCTAACGATTCAGTTATGTACGGTTGGCGTATTCGAAGTCCCTTTATGAGATATTGAGTGACTGTGTAGAACTGT